TCTCGTACCCTGCCGCCCCCCCTTCTGAGACCGGAGAGCTACACGGCAGCTGTGGGGCTGCGAGGGTTCAGCACAGGGGTCAACGACTCGCAGCTATTCAACTCCAAACACCACGGCCCAGAAAGAGAGGGCGGGATGCATTCAGCCACACAGGAGGCATGCTATTCTCTCGTGTTTTTCTCTTTCGCTTTCTGTTTTTTTTCTCCCATCTTCTCAACCGCCGCGGAGCAGACAGGCTGGGTAAGTGTGTCTCTCCAACCAACGTGCGAGTGCTAGTCACAGCGGACGCTTTTGATCACCTCACGTGTTTGCTTAGCTTTCAATTTACGCGGTTTCGGGGTCTGTTTGTGAGCGTGTCGTGGGCAGGACTGGACCTCGCTAGTGGTCATCTTCCTGCAGTCACGGACCGGATGTAAACAAACATAGCTCAGCTGGTGCCTGTGGCTTCCTGTGGCCTGTCAGATAAGGAGACGCTAATCACAGACCACACACACACACACACACATTGAGACCTGCGTGAACAGGTTTACAATGAGTGACGTCACTACTACGCAACTTGTACCTTATTTAATCGTTTTGAAATGTTATTTCATGCTGGGACAATGTTATTAAACTGTGAAGTTTTATCCTGGGTGATTTGTAAGGGAATTATCACTGTTGTTATTGCTTAGATTTGTTACAACTTGTTGGGGAGAGGTGTGCTAACGCTTTTCTGAGCATTCTGAGTCGAATTTTATAAAACTGATGAAGAAATCCCAGAGACTCGCATTGGAGGAGGGACCTGAGTCATATCTAGAGACCAGAATATCACAGAGACTTGAAGCTGCAGGACTCTTTTCACTTGGGCCAGTAAAAAAAAAAAAATCTAGCAACCGCATAGCAACACACTGAAAACCACTCGGAACACTTTAGAAACTGCATAGCAACACACTAAAAACATTCAGAACACTGCAGCAAATGGATAGCAACACACTTAAAACCATTTAGAACTCTCAAGAAACCTCTTAGCAACACACTAAAACACTCAGAACACCATAGCAACTGCATAGCAATACAATTAAACCCATTTAGAACTCTCTAGAATCCTCTTAAGTCCCCGATATACTCAAAACGAAGTTCTTTTTCGTTCTTCGTTTAGGGGTAAAACGAAGTTCGAAATGCGTGAGCAGCGGTATACTGCGGGGGAAGTCGTGGCCTAATGGTTAGAGAGTCGGACTCGTAACCCAAAGGTTAAGAGTTCGAGTCTCAGGTCCGGCAGGAATTGTAGGTGGAGGGAGTGAATGTACTGCGCTCTCTTCCACCTTCAATACCACGACTGAGGTGCCCTTGAGCAAGGCACCGAACCCCCAACTGCTCCCCGTGCGCCGCAGCATAAATGGCTGCCCACTGCTCCAGCTGTGTATGTTCACGGTGTGTGTGTGTTCACTGCTGTGTGTGTGCGCACTTAGGATGGGATAAATGCAGAGCACTAATTCCGAGTATGGGTAACCATTTCTTGGCCACATGTCACGTCACTTTCATGCTGTTAGCGAACATTCCGACACCGCCCACTCTGATGAAAGCGACGTTTAAATGAATATGTAAATATGTGCTGCGCGCTTCCTCTCAGTAACAAAATAAACACAACAAAAATGGAGAGAACAGCAAGAATTTTTTAAAATAAAAAGCATCTGTTCATAGCAACATGTGTATGTCTGCAAATTAGCACTCCCATGAAGTAACGTCACGTGTATTTACATGGCACTTTATTCAATATATTGCTTAAAAGCAATCAGCAGTATTAAACATGAAAAACAGTGTCAGTGTCTCATATCATCAAAAGCAAAACTTAATTTGCTACTATAAAGCGGCTCTCCTCTGCACGGACATCTCGCCTCCAAGGACTCGACAGATGAAATGAACTAGTGGTGGGTCGTTCTTGAACGATTCGTTCATTTTGAACGAATCTTTAATGTGACTCGGGAAGAACGAGTCGTCTCGGGGAGGGATTTGTTCAGTCGCGCATGCGCAACATCCTATAGGTTCTGTACTGGAATTAGTCAAGTAGTTCACCTGTTTCGAGTCTTTGGGTTTTTCCGAGTCGATCGTTCATCACGTGACAGCCCCATAAGCCCAAACCCGAAGACTTGTCAGATAAGAGGTGAGGTGAGCTAATCATAGACTGAAGACTCAGGTAAACAATTAATTAATCTTTTCTGTTTCTTATAGCAGTTTTGTATTGTTTGTAGTTTGATCAACGTTTGCGTAAGTAGTAGACTTGTTAGGGAAGTAACACGTAACATTTTAATTGTATTTTGCTAAAATGAACGAAATGACTCGAAAAAAGAATCGTTCATTTTGTTGAACGAGACTCAAAGTTCCGAGTCGGTAAAATGATCCGAACTTCCCATCACTAAAATGAACCCAGAGAAGAGTTCCGCGTGAAAGAAGGCGGAGCCTCAGCGCACACCTCCTATGACGTAATCGTCACGGACCAATGGTAGTACGAAGGTGTTTTGCAGCCGGAATGAACTTTTCCTAAAAGTTCGCTCTGGCAAGCCGTTTCGAACTCCCAAAACGAACTTTCTTTTGGTTCGAAGTGACGTCACATTAGTTCGTTCTTCGATTTCGCTTGAATTATATCAGGGCCATTAGCAACACACTAAAACACTCAGAACACCATAGCAACACAATTAAAACCATTTAGAACTCTCTAGAAACCTCATAGCAACACACTAAAAAAAAGACTCAGAAAACTGTAGCAACTGCATAGTGATGCCCTGGCGACCACACAAACCGAGATTTTGTATGGGCAACCATAATTTTTTCAGAAAATTAAGAAATCAGCAACCATATACCAACACACTTAAAAACCACTCAAAACACTTTAAGAACAGCATAGCAACACACACACACACACAAACCCTCAGAAATGCCTAGCAACCTCATAGCAACTCACTTAGATAAGATAATTGCGACCTTTTAATCTCACAATTCAGATTTTTTTTCTCCCAATTGCGAGTTTACATTTCACAGTTCTGACTTTGTTCCTCTGAGCTGCGTGATATAAACTCACAATTGAGAATTATAAAGTGAGAATTGAGTGATATAAAGTGAATCTTTTTTCCTCAGAATTGCAAGATAAACTTGCAATTGCGAGAAGAAAAATCTGAATTTCAAGTTGCGCAATTCTGACTCGCAATTGCAGATGTAAACTTGCAATTCTAAGAGAAAAAGTCGAAGTGCGAGATATAAACACGCAATTGCGAGAAAAAAAGTCAGAATTGTGAGAGAAAGTAGTTTCGTCTTTTCTATTTTTTTATTCAGTGGCGGAAACGGTCTTCCATACTGCCATGACATCAGTTGAGCTGAAGGAGAAAACCAAATTCAGAAGAAGACGGTTTATGCTAATGTCTGCTATAGGGCCCCTTGTGGCAACACTGAGAATGACCCATTCCAGAATGCATCAAATCAAACTAAAAGTGTTTGTGTTTAATTCCTTTTTGTATTTTGTGCATCTCAACATCCTCTTTAAAAGATTAGTTCACTTCTGAATTAAAATTTCCTCATAATGTTCTCACTCCCATGTCATCCAAGATGTTCATGTCTTTCTTTCTTCAGTCGAAAAGAAATTAAGGTTTTTGAGGAAAACATTCCAGGGTTTTTCTCTATGTAGTGGATTCAGTGGGGTTCACTGGGTGGAAGGTCCAAATTGCAGCTTCAGTGCAGCTTCAAAGTGTTCTACACGATCCCAGACGAGGAAGAAGGGTCTTATCTAGCGAAACGATCTGTCATTTTCTGAAACAAATTACAATTTATATACTTTTTAACCTCAAACGCTCATCTTGTCTAATTCTGCGTGAACTCTGTGCATTCCGGTTCATGACAGTTAGGGTATATCGAAAAACTCCCATCTCATTTTCTCCTCCAACTTCAAAATCGTTCTAAATCGTCCTACATCGCTGTTTTACCGTTTTTTGTAAACGGCGTTTGACCTTCTTTGCACGTTCACTTTGTAAACACTGGGTCGGTACTTCTGAAGCGATGTAGAACGATTAGAGGAGAAAATGAGATGGGAGTTTTTCGATATACCCTAACTGTTTCGAATGGGACTGCACAGAGTACGCATGCGCATTGCAGAGCTACACAAGACAAGTGTTTGAGGTTAAAAAGTATATAAATTGTAATTTTTTTTAGAAAATGACAGATCGTTTCGCTAGATAAGACCCTTCTTCCTCGTCTGGGATCGTGTAGAACGCTTTGAAGCTGCACTGAAGCTGCAATTTGGACCTTCCACCCAGTGAACCCCACTGAATCCACTACATAGAGAAAAACCCTGGAATGTTTTCCTCAAAAACCTTAATTTCTTTTCGACTGAAGAAAGAAAGACATGAACATCTTGGATGACATATGGGGTTGAGAAAATAATGAGGACATTTTAATTCAGAAGTGAACTAATCCTTTAAGACACACCAACTGTAATTGTTTAGTCTTCAGATGATTTTAGCAGCATCAGAACCATACCTGTGAACACGATGGACTTTGGCCTTTTTATTTTTTTGACTCCGTCCAGCTGCACGGGATACATTTACAGGCGTATTTACACACCTGCCTCGTATTCAGACCAACCCAACGCTGAATTCCCCCTGCGGCCAGAGCAGACGGGCCATTGTTTCTCTCTTTTGGTCGGCAGTCAGACTTTGTTGCGAGCGAGGGGTTCTCCCCGTCCAAACAGCCTCTGAAATCAGCTCTTTTGAGACCTCGTGAACGCTGTTGTGGCTCTTGGCTGAGATTTGCTGGCAGACGAGACACAATGCGAAGACCAAGGCTGGTTAGTGAGCTGCCAAATTGAGCCAGAAGCATTATTATTATTATTATTATTCACTTTGAAAATAAACAAGGACTTTTTTTGTTTTTTAGTACAGTAATCTGGCTCAGTGTAGTGTTTTGAAACCCCATGCATCAGTTATATGTTGTAGGCCCCTAATTTGTGTTGTGATAATGTGTGTTTGTAATTGCAGGTAGTTGGGGAATAGTTGAACACTGAGTAGAGAGGACCGCGTCCACCTCGAGCCCTCCAGAGCCATGCATAGCAAGAACCGTAAGTGTATTAACACCCGTCTCAGAGTCTTTTTTTCTTAAATGTTCTACATGTAGAATCCAGTATGTCAGTTTGAACTGGAAATATAAAATGAAGCAACATGATAAGTATTGCAAAGATTTCAATGTGCCATTGAGCGTGTCGTTAAACTAGTTTCACAAACCTGCTGGAGTTTTAAGAAAGAGTTGTTTAATAGTATCTCTTGTTTAAACGGCAGCATAAATAGTGTCAGAGTTTCTGTGAATCAGTTCAAACTGTCCATTGGAGTGAATAAACCCAATAATTTCAATGAGTTATCATGCAAAAATATTTAACAGAAGTGGCATTTTTTCATGTATTAAATGTTTTAGTAAGTTACATAGGTAAAACTTATGTAGGTAAATAGTGCTTAATAATAAAAGATTTATATGCGCCAATATAAGAATGAAAATGTTATATTATAATAGTGAAAAACGGTGTGGAAAAGATGTCTTGATTATTTTTAACTAGATTTTATTGTATTATACTTGTTGAAAAAAATATGTAAAAAATGTATATATTTTATTAATTTATATTTTATATATAATTTTTTATTTTACTACAACCGCTTTATTGCATACTGTTTTCATTTACATGTTACCACTTTCACTTTTAGAACTGTAGTTTCATTTTCAGCCCTGGATCCCTCAACATACATATTATTACAACTGAAAAAGAAACATGTCTTGAATATTGCAAGTGGGTTTGTTGAATATTAGGAGATGAACATAAGTGTTCACACTTCAGAAATACTATTATTGAAAGTATTTTTTATGTACTATGATTTGGGACGCACTAATATTAATCTTTCATAATGTATAGAATAGATTTGTATATTATTTGGGACTCAGTCCATTAGTTTAGCTTCCTGTACAGATGCTCCTGATCTTCTGACGGTTGTATTCCTGTGTCAGAGAGGAGACACTGCTCACCCAGCAGCTCCAGGACCCCTCTAGTTCCTGTCAAGGCCAAGATGTCGGTGGGCCAGAGCGAGGTGGAGGCCCTTCCCTTCAGGGTTCCTTGCGATTACCCACACTCACGCTTCAGCAAGGCGCCGCTGGCCGTCTATCCACCCAAAGGAGCCCGAGCCAAAGCCTGGTGGGTAAAACACCCCCCTCCCCCCATCCATCCAATCATACATGCTTCGTCTGACAAACTGGATTATTGGTGAAATTTAGTAGTGGTCGACCGATATGGGTTTTTTGACAGCCGATGCCGAGATCTTGGAAAGCAGGGTGGCCGATATAAAGCCGATATAATTAGATTTATTTTCAGTTATATTTAAGACATTTTAAATAATTTGAAAATGGATTTAAAATAATTGTATTTAGAAGACAAAGCATTTTTCACAAATAAGTAAATATTTAATAAAAATCTAATTATAAAGGAAGTAAACACTGTAACCAACTGGGCACTCAGTATTCTGGGAAGTTTGTGTGCATTAGAAATCTTTTTTCTTTTCTTTTTTTCAAATAAAGCCAAGGTAACACTCATTTTACATACAGCATGCAATGAAAATGACATGAATATGACAGCGGGCAAATGCATAAAGCACAGCATAATTTGAAATCACTAGTTTGATATCACTATATTATATATTTATTTGATATATATTTGAAATCACTGGCATTCACTCAGCGCCGTCAAAATAAAAGTCCCGCCTCGAACACATCGGCCAACCAGAAAAACGTATCGGCTGATGCTGATATTTGCAAAATGCCAAATATCGGTCGACCACTAAAATTTAGTATTGTAGAGAGTGCGTGATAAAGCAAAGTGTTCGTAAACATCAACTACTGCTCCATATTCCCACCACAAATGTTTTAATTAATGTTGTAATAAGACTTTCCTGACATATTTAAAATGAAACAGTTAATATAAATTTATGTGGTTTATTAATAAATTTTTCAGTGCAAAATTATTTACAGAAACATTAGATTATACTAATAATCAATGTTTAAAATGCCACCTATACATATAATAGATTAGAATAGAACTTTTATTTTATTGCTCATGAAAGAAGAGCACTTAATTTATAATAAAGCTCTTGATTTACCCCAAATTTTGATGTAAAAAATTATTTTAATAAAGTTAAATGTAAGCATGTGGTGAACATTTTATATGTCAACATTAATATTTGTTTGGCTGTGTTCATTATGTTCAGATATTACATTTTAGAGAAATGTGTACAGCGTAGTCATATTTGATCAAAATTAATTATGTAATATATAAATATTTATAGTATTTACACTACTGTTCAAAAGTTTGGAGTAAGTATGTTTTAAAAAAAATATTTTAAAGTCTCTTCTGCTCACCAAGGATGCATTTATTTGATTAAAAAAATACAGTAAAAGCAGTAATATTGTGAAATATTATTACAATTTAAAATATATTCTGTTTGAATATATTTTAAAATGTAATTTATTTCTGTGATGTAAAGCTGAATTGTCAGCATCATTACTCCAGTCTTAAGTGTCACGTGATCCTTCAGAAATCATTCTAATATGCTGATTTGCTGCTCAAGAAACATGATTATCATCTCATTATTTGTAGAAACTGTGGTGCATATTTCTCAGGATTCTTTGATAAATAGAAAGTTTTTTTTGGTCACTTTTGATCAATTTAATGCATTTCCTTTGAATTGTAATTCTGGAAATCCACTTCCTCTCTTTCCAATTTATGCCAATGCAAATTATAATTCGACCTCCTGTGGTTGTGACCAATTTTTCAATTCAAATTCTCACTCATAAATTGAAAGGAAGTTGATTTGACTTTATGTTTGGAAATTGTACTCTATGTAAGTTAAAAACTTAAAAATACGCGATCTGTTTTCTCTAGCGTGTCTTTACCTGTGGTGAGTCTGGAGAAGATGCCGTGTTTCAGCCGAACAGAGGGAGCGCACATCAAAGTCACCTCCACGTCTCCCACGGCGGGTTGTTCTCTTTCTTTCTCTGCCACGTCTTCCTCTCCATCTTCCGCTCCTCTCAAGTCCTCCTTGACGTCACCAGCATCTCACAAGAACCAGGAGAAGTTCCTGAACGGTCGCGGTCCTGTGACGCCTCGCTCCACCACGCCTCCATCGCTGATTGACAGGCGGCCCAGCCCGTCACGGTCGCCCTTGGAGAAACGGCCCGCCCCCTCGCCCTCCCCACAGGACAGGAGACCCGCGGCCTCCACGTCTCCATCTCCATCCCCGTCGGACCGGAGACCGATAGTCCCTCCTTCTCCCCCAGACAAGAAGCATCAGAACGGAGCCAAAGGCGGGCGGCACCGGAGAGTGTCGGGTGAGTAGCAAACGTTTGTTTAATATATCTTTTGCGTGTTTTGAAACAAGAAGAAATGCATTTGCAGCACATTTTACTTCTGTTTTTTTAGAAATTCAGCTGGAAATAATGTAGGAAACGAGACGGTGGGGCTTTGATATTAACATAAAAACTGAAAATTAGAAATGAATGTGCCTAATAAAGTATAATTTTAATGAAAAATGTTTAGATTATTTTTTTGTACTGTATGTTTTATGTGGTTATATGCACTGTTTTTATTGTTTAGTTTAAAATATTAAAAATAATTTTTGTTAATTAAAATATAGCTGTAATAAAATATAAATAATAGAAGGAAAATTTAAGCAAATACATTTCTAATTTTCATTTTTATGTTCAATAAAACAGAATTTTAATGAAAAATAGTTTTCCTTGATATTTTTAGTACTGCATGTTTTATATGGTTATTAGCAGTGTTGTTTTAGTTAACTAAAACGAAAAATCATTTTCGGTATCTAAAATAGAGCTGAAATAAAAATATACATAAATATTAGAAGGAAAATTTAAAAATGAAAATGTGAAATAATGCTTTGGGACTAACTGAAATAAAATAAACTGAAGCACTTAAAACTACTAAAACTGAAACTGACATAAAAAAATAAATGAAAGCTAAATAGAAAAAAATGAATGTAAAAAAAATTAACACTTATTATTTGTGTATATTGTGTATATAATCCTGAGTTTAGCCCTTCTGGATTCCCACACATTATTGCTTAAGTTTTGTTGTTGTTAAATACATTTTATATACTTTTAAAAAAGAGGAAGGGAAAAATAAAACAAAGCAAAATGCTGAACAAAAATAAATAAATAAATACATTTTTCAAACCTGAGTTCTGTGGTTTATGGTTTGTAGGCTTGTCGTTCGTCTGGAAGCATGAATGTTTAGTCATAACTGGCCTCTGCTAACGGTTTAGCGTTGAGTGGAGACCCGGTCAGTCGTCTCTCTCCGTATGTTGTTTACTGGGCTCTCGGCCCCACCGGAGGTTTGATTTATGCTGTGTAATTGGCTGTTCTCGGTCGCCAGATCCACAGTCACTCATGTTCTATTACAGAGAGTTTGAGCTAGTTTAAGTGTTTATGTGAGCTGCGGATAGCACTGTGAGCTGGACTGCATTGTTTTAATCATGATTCCCAGTAAAACGCCTCACTGTCTGCCATCTACATAGACGGCATCCTAAACGAGAAGAAACCTGGGAAATAACTAGAAATGTTTAGAGACTCTTGCACAAAAGAAATGCACAAGATATTCAGTGAAAACTCACAATTGATTCCAGTGCATTACTGCATTTCATGAAATGAATGCATTGTACTTAACTAAAAATACATAATAAATAAATATGTTTTATATATGCAATGCATTTATTTGTTTATATATACATATATAAATATAAAGGAAAAAATTATATAATATATCATGTGTATATATTAAATACAAAATATAATTTATAATATATATTTATAATATTTATAATTATAATACTTACAATTATAAACATAATATAGTAATAAAATATTAGATATATATATATATAGTTAATAATATAATAATATAGTTATTTTCAGCCAAATATGAAGTCATATTCTGTTTTGTTGTGCAGGGAGAGTGTTTGATCCTAATAAACACTGTGGGGTTTTGGACCCAGAGACAAAGCGCCCTTGCACTCGATCTTTAACCTGTAAGGTTGGTATCGTTACTCATTAGTGTGTAATTTTATCATATCTGTCCAGTGATCATTGTGGTGGTGTTCATAACATTGTCTGTGTATGTTGTAGACTCACTCTCTAACCCATCGGCGAGCCGTCCTGGGACGGAGGAAAGATTTCAACATCCTTCTAGCGGAGCATAAGGGCCGGGCGAAGGAGAAGGAGACGGGGCAAAAAAAGGAAGCTCAAGCAGGCAGCCAATCAGTGCAGGTCACACAGTTACATGATGCAGCAACCAGCCTATCCACAAGCTGTAGCAATGCCAAGACCACGCCCACTCTCAAACTGCAGCTGGCCAATTCACACTTACACAGGTACATACTGCTGACTACATGACAGCCAGTGACTCTACTGAACAGAACTGTATAAATTGATTCACAGATTTTACTTAAAGGGGTCATATGATGCGATTTCAAGTTTTCGTTTTTTGGAGTGTTACAAGCTCTTGATGCATAAAGAAGATCTGTAAAGTTGCAAAGACTAAAGTCTCAAATCCAAAGAGATATTTTCTCTAAAAGTTAAGAGTCAGTCACACCTACCTAAAACGGCTCGTTCTAACACGCCCCCACATGTCTACATCACTATGTGGGAAGATTTGCATAACGCCGCCCAAATGTTCACGCAGAACTTTTATTCTACTTTTATTCTCGCTGTAGTATTGTTGCTGCCGCCGCCATGTCGTGAAGGCGCTGTGTTTCGTTGTGAAAGAGAAACTACTTTGTTTGGTCTTCCAAAAGAGGACGTTATCCGCTTCGTCATGCCTGGAGCTGATCCGCGCTGGTTGCTGAGGAAATACATCAACTTCGCGCTGTGGATCGCCAGATCGGCTTTCACCGTGGACGAGTCCAGCCCGGGGTCGTCACATGTGGTTGCCGCACGCCTCCTTCGTCGAGTCCGCCGGCCTCCGCTCACTCAAGCCCGTCGTGTGTGACGCTGTGTTTCATTGTGAAAGCTAAACTACTTTGTTTGGTCTTCCAAAAGAGGACACGACTAGAAATCAGTGGTTAAGTTGTAGCGCCGGGACACGGCATCACAGTATGATAAGGGGCGTAACATTTCCGTCACACGCTTGAGGTATTCGGCCAATCACAACGCACTGGATAGCTGGCCAATTAGAGCACACCTTGCTTTTCAGAACGATGAGCTTTGTAAAAATCGACTCGTTTCAGAAAGGCGGGGCATAGAGGAAAAACAATAATGTACAGTATGTGGAAAATAATGTTTTTTGAACCTTAAACCGCATAAACACATTGCATTACACCAAATACACAACATAATGTTATTTTTAGCAGCATCATATGACCCCTTTAATATTATGCTGAAATAAATATTTTCACTATCATATATCACATATTATCACTGTGATAATATGATGATGAATATTAATATTAGAAGGGCAACTTAAAAAAGAAAATTTGAAATGTTGCTTGACAGCTAACTGAAATAAAATAAGTTGAAGTTGAAGTACTAAAACTATTAAAACTGAAATAGAAAAAAAACTAAATAAAATATTAATAAATAAAACAAAACAAAATGGAAAAATAAAAAAAGCAAAAGTACATAAAAAATTACAAAAACTTAAAAAAGAAAACATAAAACAAAAACTAATTCAAAACATTAATAAATACTAAAATGGTATATGTGACCCTGGAGCACAAAAGCAGTGTTAAGTCGCTGGGGTATATTTGTAGCAATAGCCAAAAATACATTGTATGGGTCAAAATTATTGATTTTTCCTTTATGCCAAAAATCATTAGCATATTAAGTAAAGATCATGTTTTATGAAGATATTTTGTAAATATCCTACTGTAAATATATTAAAACGTAATTTTTGATTATTAATATGCATTGCTAAGAACTTCATTTGGACGGCTTTAAAGGTGATTTTCTCAATATTTAGATTTTTTTTGCACCCTCAGATTCCAGATTTTCAAATAGATGTATCTCGGCCAAATATTGTCCTATCCTAACAAACCATACATCAATGGAAAGATTATTTATTTCAATTTAAAAAAATTGACCCTTATGACTGGTTTTGTGCTCCAGGCTCACATATAAATAATACAAAACTAACCATGGTCATTTGTCTATATTGTGTGCATAGAATGAGTTTGGCCCTTAAAAAATAAATATAATAGTAAAGTATATAAATAATAATAAAATATAACTTACTTGATTAAAAAAATGAGAATCAGAAGAATGTTTTTCCTCGAGTGTCATCAGTCTTTTATTTGCAGAGCGTCTGGTGCAGTCGTGTTCAGCTCTGCGCCCGTTCCTCCTCCTGAACCTGTGCCCGGCTGGCAGCATCTGTCCAGCGATGAAGGAGAAACTGACCTCCCTGAGGAGTCCGAGAGGCTGCTGTGCCACTATTCTCCACAGCACCCACGACCCCTGAGCGTGAGCTGAGCCAAACCACTACATTACAAAACATTTGTCCCATTTTGGGACCCTGTATATTAAAAAGCATTTTAAAAATGGAGTAATATAACGTGGCACCTCATTCTGTCTTGTCTTAGTGCTGTGCGTTCAGCAGTCGCTTGATGGGACGGGGTCACTATGTGTTCGACAGGCGGTGGGACCGGGTGCGGCTGGCGCTCCACTGCATGGTGGAAAAACACGTCAACTCTCTCATGTGGAGGTGAGCGTCCCGCATGACCCACAGTTACATGTTTGTCTGTCTGCTCGCACAATTATTGCTTATGAATTTATGGGTGGATATGTTCTGTTCACTTTTTTCCTTAATAGGGTGAATCTCACAAATGCTTTCAAATATTGGGTTTGTATTTCACTCCAAAATCACAAAAAAAAAACAGCATTAAGAAAGTAAGGACTTGTTACAGCAAATTATTTTTATTTGGACATTATTTTCATTAACAGTTATTCAATTATTACTAATAGTAATAATAATAATTATAATATTACAATTTATATTTAATAATGCTATACAAATATAACCAGTTTAAAATGTTGCAATGCGCAAATCTGACTGAACCTCAAAATAGGCTTCATTTTCTTTAAGCTAAATATTATTTTCACCAAAATATCATAAGACGTTAAATATATTTTAGAATTAAGAAAAAAAAGTCAAATCAAGATTCTGACATTTATTGTCATGATGTTTTATTTTTTATGACGTTATTAAACAAATCATTAAACATAGTTTTTTTATTTTTTTTTATTAATAATAGTTTTTAAAAATCATTAAACTGAATAAAGTCATTAAATATGATTGTTAATTGATAGTAAATAATAAATAAACATTAAAACTATTTCTTATTAAACATTGTCATGGTGGTTTAGCACATTGACAAATATTTTTTTATTTAATAATAATTAAATAATTAATATTTTTACAATTATTCTGTAATATGACATAATTCATGTTTAATAATAATGAATATTAAATAACAATAATACAGCTATAAATCATATATATATAAAAATATAACTTCACGAAAATAATATTGCTTCATTTTCTTTATGCAAAATATAATTTTTCTTTTTTTTTTAATTTGGTGAGGTTTTTCTCATAAGCCTTTAATTTTTGCTGAAATGAATTAAGTGAATGTTAACGGCTTCAGTTGAGCTGTGTAGTTGTAGTGCTTGAATGGCTTTACAAAGGCACAGACGTTTTCTTTCACTCAGTAACCACACAACATTTAGGTTAACATGCCACATGGTTTCCTACCACACACTGGTGATGTCATATCCTGTTTCTCACAGGAAAGTCCCCCTAGCGGTGGAGAGCGTGACAAGCCCGACTGAAGTTTCTCCCCTCGGCTCTCCGTTCGTCTCCAGCCACGCGCTCACGGCTCCTCTGGACGGCGTCTCCATGGTCTCATACTCCACCTCCTTCTCTCATAACGGAGGTGGGGTTTTCTGCATCCGGGACCCCGAACCCAGACCCAGACCACAGCGGAATAAACCGGCTAAGCCGCCCAAAGCCTCAGGGGACGGAACAGGATCTAAAAAGCGGAAAGCGCCTCCCGCCTCTGAGTCACGAAAGAGCGGGACCAGCGGGAACAGCTACCATCTGCCACTGGGCGCAGCGCACATCAGTAACGGGACGGCGGCCCTTAGCGTGCGGGCCAAGCAACGGCCGGGGGGCCAGGGGCCGAGGGACCAAGACAGGGACGGGAGCGTGGAGCTGTCCCTCCCGCAAGCGCTCACCGGGGATCACGGGGGCGTCTCGTCCCACAGCCCGCTGCCCTACGGATCCTCTGATGGGAGGAAGAGGAAGAGCTCTGGCTCGAGCGCCGGCAGCGACAAACCCAGCAAAAGCACCAAATCCACAGCACTGGATGGGATATTCAGGAAGAGCAGCAGCGGTTTGCTGTCGTCAGCCGCCGAATCGCCCCACAGCGCCCTCCCCAGACAGGTAAAACAGATGCGAGAGTGAATTTTCAGCATGACAAGATGTTAAAAAAATGCAGCAATGTATCTTTATAGACCCCTCAAAGAGATTCAGATTTTTTTTCATGTTGGTTTTTCCACTGAAAAACACTCATTCAATCAATATGACATAAGATATATTAATATTTTGTATATAAAATTATAAAAAAATATATCTTATAAAATATTAAAGAATTTCAGTATGTGATTTGCAGGCCTGGAAAAGATTTAGAATTTTTTTAATAGTTTTTAGTTTTTTATAATATATATTTTTAATAAAATATATATATATATATATATATTTTTTTTTTAAATAAAGTAGAAAATATTTATATATATATATAGATCTCGTGGCACCTTTCAGATGTATTTGCATTACACTGGCTCGTTCTCAAGTGGTGGAATGTAAGATGTTTTATGTTCACATCAGGCAAGTGGCCGCATAAGCAGGAAAATTACGCAGTGTAGTCTTTATCCAGTCATAAAAACAGAATTCACAGTTTAACGTGGAATGTCACGGAATTTGTCAAATTTTGAATGAATTAATCAAAAGTAGGTCATCACACTTAAATCAAATTACGATATGGACTAGTATCTGTAAACATTAAGCTGCAAAAGTCAATGTAAATATGAATCCTGCATGTTCTGCGTGTCTCTGTTAATGAATGGCGCAGACGCGCGGTTTCATTTACTACACACACACTGAAGCGCGCCTGACACTCGCGGTGATTTCAGCGTCTGTCGTCTCACTAAATGAGGACGTAAACACATGAACAACATCTCCAGAACTGCTCTGAGAGTCACTTCATGAGCATTTTAGCGTTTGATTTGAGTAAAACTAGCGTCATATCTCATACACAGAACTGTAAAGATATTCACGGCAACCCGTCAAAATAAAAGTCCGGTTTATTTTGAAGACATTGTGCCTATTACTATTTTTCTGTAGAATGTACATAGCCTACTACTACTACTACTACTAAAATGAAACAAACATTATTTTTTTAAGGAAAAATATTTTCCTCTTTGTTTGCCAAAAAATCTTGTTTGCTTAATTTTCAATAATTAAAAGATAAATGATAAATTAAATTCATGTTTTATGCCTTCATTTGATAACCATAAAAATGTAAATACACAACACAGAATTTCTGAGGGGGAAAAAAATTCATAAGGCTACTTTAAGAAAAAGTTTTTTAAAATAAAGTAGAAAATATTTATATATATATATAGATCTCGTGGCACCTTTCAGATGTATTTGCATTACACTGGCTCGTTCTCAAGTGGTGGAATGTAAGATGTTTTATGTTCACATCAGGCAAGTGGCCGCATAAGCAGGAAAATTACGCAGTGTAGTCTTTATCCAGTCATAAAAACAGAATTCACAGTTTAACGTGGAATGTCACGGAATTTGTCAAATTTTGAATGAATTAATCAAAAGTAGGTCATCACACTTAAATCAAATTACGATATGGACTAGTATCTGTAAACATTAAGCTGCAAAAGTCAATGTAAATATGAATCCTGCATGTTCTGCGTGTCTCTGTTAATGAATGGCGCAGACGCGCGGTTTCATTTACTACACACACACTGAAGCGCGCCTGACACTCGCGGTGATTTCAGCGTCTGTCGTCTCACTAAATGAGGACGTAAACACATGAACAACATCTCCAGAACTGCTCTGAGAGTCACTTCATGAGCATTTTAGCGTTTGATTTGAGTAAAACTAGCGTCATATCTCATACACAGAACTGTAAAGATATTCACGGCAACCCGTCAAAATAAAAGTCCGGTTTGATTTGAAGACATTGTGCCTATAATAATTTTTCAGTAGAATGTACATAGCCTACTACTACTACTACTACTAAAATGAAACAAACATTATTTTTTTAAGGAAAAATATTTTCCTCTTTGTTTGCCAAAAAATCTTGTTTGCTTAATTTTCAATAATTAAAAGATTAAAAGATAATTAAATTCATGTTTTATGCCTTCATTTGATAACCATAAAAATGTAAATACACAACACAGAATTTCTGAATTTCTGAGGAATTCAAAAGGCTACTTTAAGAAAAAATATGCAAAACGTTTTATGCATTCAAATAATTAGACATGCTAAAACACAGAATTTGGTAACAATAAAACATATAAATAATATGGTGAGAAAAAATAAAACATTTCATAGGGCCCTAAACATGTAATTTTTGTTAAACTTTTAATAAA